GTTAAGTGAAATAAGCCAGAAAGAGAAAGACAAACACTGTATGATCTCACTCATATGTGGAATATAAACCAACACATGGACAGAGAAAACTGTACTACGGTTACCAGGGGCAGTGGGGGTGGGGGGTGGGCACAAGGGGTGAAGGGAGTCATATATATGGTGATGAACAAACAAAAATGCACAACCCAAAATTTCACAATGTTAAAAGCCATTAAAACATCAATAAAAAAATAAAATAAAATAAAAATAAAAATATGCAAGAAAGATACCAATTAATTATTTTCTCTTTCAAATTTATTTGGGGATGAGAGATAGGTGTGTGTAGATAGCTAGATAGACAGACACACAGACACACATACATTCACAAACACAGCCTCCATCCCCTTGCCTAATTTACATCTATGGTCAGATAGACTCCAACCCAGATCCTTCAAAAATCCTCCAAATAGGGCCGGCCCCATGGCTTGGCGGTTAAGTGCACGCGCTCTGCTGCTGGTGGCTCAGGTTCGGATCCTGGGCACGCACCAAGGCACCGCTTCTCCAGCCATGCTGAGGCCGAGTCCCACATACAGCAACTAGAAGGATATGCAGCTATGACATACAACTATCTACTGGGGCTTTGGGGGGAAAAAATAAATAAATAAAATCTTTAAAAAAAAAAAAAATCCTCCAAATATCTTGCCTGGCTCCAGAGTCTACTGGGAAGGGCCTCACATTCAGCCCTTTCAAAAACAAAACATTTTTTTTTATCATATGCAGTCCTATTTCCAATAAGAACGTCACCTTATTTCTTTTCTATGCCCAAGGTTTATCAGAAATGAGAATCCACAAGAACAGGAACAGTGTCTCTCATTCATCCCCGTGTGTCCATCATCTGGCATACTGCCTGACACCAATAAACACTCAATAAATTTTTGCTGAATGACTCCCTAGACTTATATGTTCCACACTCTTTGTACTACATACTCTCCTACCTTAAGTTGTACTTTATTCATATTTGTATAATTCTAATTACCCTTCAAGACTTCTTCTGAACTCCCTTATTTCCCTGTTATCAACTTCATTGCCTTAGGCTTTACTTTACCTCTCCCCTTTTGTAATACTTGTTTCTCTGGGATTTGGAGTCTATCTATAGTAGGCTGATTATCCATGCTCACTTTGGCCTTTTCCATGTTAATTTCTTTTTTGTTTTTTGCTGAGGAAAATTTGCCTTGAGCTAACATCTGCTGCCAATCTTCCTCTTTTTGTATGTGAGCCACTGCCACAGCATGGCCTCTGACAGAGGAGTGGTGTAGGTCCATGCCTGGGAAGCGAACTTGGGCCACTGAAGCGGAGCGTGACGAACTTAACCACTAGGCCACCAGGGCTGGCCCCATGTTAATCTCTTAAAATGTGCTTACTATCCTTCCTGAGATCTCTTCTTTTTTTTCTCTCTTCTGAGGCCTATGTTATCTCTTTTTTTCAGTAAGAATTATCTTCTCCTGATATTTTCCTATTGCACTTCTTGCTCATCCCCAGTTACTTCATCTATTTTCCTCTAATCTTTCTTCCTCCAATATCTAAAACTTAAATTTTATATTTCTACCACCTCCGTCTGAAGCTCTTTTAATGCTTTCCCCATCCCACATGGCTACTCTGAATTAATTTCGGCAGCTGTTACCAGCTCAGTTGCTCTGCTTCTCTTTCCATTCTGGGACCTTGAAAATGGCTCAGCTGTGCATGCTTCACTTTCATTATGACCTGTTCTTGGGCAATCAGCACAACTATGACCACTGATCCCAAAGGTTAAATATACAATTGGCTTTTTACAGATGTCATTTCTGGCTCCTTTTTCTCCACATCAGAAACATTTTTCCTGATTATATCTCTTACTCAGATGATTTCTAGAGACAATTCTATCTCCTATAACTTAACCGCCAAATCTGGTTGATGCTGAGAATCACCTGGGGACCTTTAAGAAATATATATTCTTGCCTCCCCCACCCCACTCCGGTGTGATTCAGCAGTCTGGGGATGGGCCCAGGAATCTTTTTTCAAAAAGTGCAAGTGATTCTGATAAGCAGCCAAGTTTAGCGATTACTCACCTATAGTATGTCTTTGGCTGGCACCTATATCAGCTGGATCAAAATGGAATATCACTAAATAATAACTAATGGGTATTAAATGCTTATATTGTGCCAAGTCTTGTGCTAAGTGCTTTACAAGTATTATTGCATTTAATCCTCACAACCACCCTATGAGGCAGGCAAAATTATTTTCTCCTTTTCACAGATGAAGAAACTGTGCCCTATATCATATGCCTACAGGAGATTCTGGATATTTTCCCAAGCAGTCCCAGACCAGAGTCTGTGCTCCTGACCTCTGTGCATATACTAGATCAGGTAGGTGATTAACCTTTTTTTCTTACTACTCTTACCCTGCACACATATTATTGAGTCAATATTCCAAACACAACTGTAACTTTTACTTGATGTGTTCAAGAATTAGTCTCTCTTCCGGCAGCCCGCGATGGCGGGCCGGTCGGCCAGGGCTCGAGGGGCCTCGCGGGGAGCGGCCATGTTGGCTTCATGACTGAGGACGCGGGGCGGCCTGGGGGGACCCCCTGCCGGGGGTGGGCGTGAGGACAGCCGAGGATTCAGAAGGAACTGGCAGACATCACTTTAGACCCTCCACCCAACTGCAGTGCTGGTCCCAAAGGTGATAACATCTATGAATGGAGATCAACCATTCTAGGGCCTCCAGGATCCGTGTATGAGGGTGGTGTATTCTTCCTTGGTATCACTTTTACACCAGAATATCCTTTCAAGCCTCCAAAGGTTACATTTCGGACAAGAATCTATCACTGTAATATTAACAGTCAAGGAGTTATTTGCTTGGACATATTGAAAGATAATTGGAGTCCAGAACTAACCATTTCTAAAGTCCTCCTTTCCATCTGCTCACTTCTTACAGATTGTAATCCTGCCGATCCCTTGGTAGGAAGTATTGCCACTCAGTACATGACCAGCAGAGCAGAACATGACAGAATGGCCAGACAGTGGACCAAGAGATACGCTACATAAATTGGGTTTTCACAATTCTTACCTTATTTGTCTGTCACAGAGAGAGCTGCTTATGATTTTGAAGTGGTTGGGGAGGGTGGGAGTTGGTAAAGAGTAGGGTATTTCTATAACATATGATTCAGTCTTATTTCCTAAGATTTTGCTGTAACTTAAGGTATCTTGCTACAGTAGACAGAATTGGTAATAGTACCTTTTAAAACTGTCATTAGTTCTGCAATATTAGCTGAAATGTAGTACAGAGAATAGACATTTGGGTTCAGTTGCTTGTAGTCTGTAAATTTAAAACAGCTTAATTTTGTACAGGTTACACACATGGCCGTTTATGTAAAGTCCTTCTAAGACTACACACTTTTTTGTTTTAAGGAATTGGAATTTGTTTTCCCTTCTTGGAAGGGAACATTGATATTTAACAGTTTTTTAGAGACTGTCATCTCATTTATATAAAATGGACACATGGCTATAAGACACCCTATAAGAAATGAGTAGTTATGTATTTTATTTTATATGCCAATCTACTTTATTGTGAAAAGGTTAGAGGTTTAAATCAGGACTTGGAAAACCTGTAGTAAAATACCTTAAGCTGTTAACTGTAAGGCATGGAATAGGAGTTGCTCAGTGGATTGGTTATATGTTGTGGACTACTTAAGTCTGCATTTGTTACTGTGCTAATAAACAATATCAAAACAAGCACCTAAAAAAAAAAAAAAAAAGAATTAGTCTCTCTTGAAGCCAGTTTTAGTTTAAGCTATACCCAGTTACATTTTTAAAGAGAATAAGCAAGGTCTTTGGTCTTGGTTGGCTATAATGAATCACCACAAAGTTTTTTATTCACCCATTCATTTTTATTCAATCAGTCATTTATACAGCATTTACTGAGTATCTACTACGTGCTGGGCCTGGGGATACAAAGTATTTGGTCTTGGTCTGTTAAGAAGAATCATAAAGAATCACTGCAAAGTTTGTTTATTCATTCAATCTGTCAGCCAGTCACAAGGAAAATATTTATTGAACACCTACTACATGAAAGACACTGTAAAAGGCCTAGAAATACAGCAATATACAAGGAACAGGAGGGAGATTTGTGTAAAGGACACACATTTTGGAGTCATCAACATAAGTTTTCTAAGTGAATATGATTACTTAGGAAGAGAGTAGAATGAGAAGAGAAAAGGATCTCAGACAGAAAACTATGAACTATAACACTTAACGATGAATAGAGGCAAAGCCAGCAAAGGAGACTAAGAAGTAAACTGAGAGAGAGAAGAAAAACAGGCGAGTCTGGTGTCATGGAAGCCAAGAGCACAGAGTGCCGGGTAAAAAGATGCTGAGATATTAGGAGTAGAAAGAGAAAATGCAGAAATGAAAAAAGACAATTCTCTCTTCGAGAAATTTGACTCGAAAGGGGAAGAAAGAGTCAAGTATTTTTTAAGTCCTGAGGAGCATGTATTAGACAGAGAGATTGACTATAAGAGGGAGACTGGATTAATAATAGTACAAGGTCTTTGAAAAGGTGGAGAAGTTTGGATCCAGAGAACAGGTAGAGAGGCTTGTCCTGGGGAAAGAATGAAACTTTTTTATTCTAATAAGGAGGAAAGACATATAGGTAGAGATGTAGGTATGCCTGCAGATTTGCTCGTGAAAATCGTATCAGTTCCTGTCCAATTCTTAGTCAAGCAGGAGACAAGATCACCTGTTGAGCTTGCAGAAGAAAGAGAGGAGTTTAAATGGTTGGGGGGAGGTCTGAGGATAGAAGTTTGAAAGTTGTTGGAATGGGTGTGTTAATTAGAGAAATGTGATTTTTAAGGCACCATTGAAAACCTAGTTGGGGTAACATCATAAATTTCTACAAGTACTAATCTGGTTATATTATTTTCTCCAGCTGTGCTTGATATAGCCATGTAAAAGAGAGAATAATGGCAAGAAACTAAACTGAAACAACAGACCACAGAATCTTAGCTGGATAGGGAAGAAAGTAAAGAATAAACAGGACTACAGGAAAGGAAGAAGGAAAAAGATCAGCAGTCCAGATGAAGTTGAAGAACAAATATAGTTTGTACGGCAGTTCTAATCTCTTTTTTCATATACTCTCCCAAGAATGTGCAGGTTTGAAGTTTAGAAACTTTAAATTTCAAGGATTTGAAATTCTACCTCAGGTTCATGTTAAAATGAATTAAAAATCAAGGCCTTTGGCAGTCATTAGTATAGGCAAATATTTCTAGTCTTCATCCCAGGCACTTGGTAGGACTGCGCTTCTCCATTCCTTTGAAGTTGGGTTGAGGGAAGGGCAATGAAATGTGAGCAAAATGACATGAATTGCTTCCAGGCATAAGCAATTATAGGGAGCACAATTCACCACTCTCTCATTCTACCACAGCAACCAGTGTTTCAGATGGTGGCTGCTGAATGAGGAAGATACAGAGCAGTGCCTCCAGTTGACCCACAGAGGGCATGTCGAGTGAATGATAAATTTTAAGCCACATAATGGGATGCAGGTGGAGGACTATGAAAGGGAAGGAGAAAATGAGAGGTGGGTAGGGAAGGCAAAGCAGACTTGGAAGGGAAAGCAAGGCAGACTCAGAATGTATGAGAGTAAGAGTCTCCTCCCCATCTGCCATATCCAACCCTTAAGGTATTTCCACTTGCATGTCTCACTAATCCTTGAAACATAAAAAATCAAAATAGTTTCTACACATATTAGTAGCCCTTCTCAATTTCCCCATTATCTTCATCATCATCCCTTTGGTTCTCCTGCCTCTTCTCTCTTCTCATCCTATCCACCAGCCCATTAGTACCTACAACTGCATGCATTCACACTCCACACAAGCTATCACAAACTCCTGCCAATTATTCTTTTGCAATTTCTCTCAGACCTGACTCTTAACTCTTTTTATGTTCATGGCAGCCACCTTGATCTATGTGGACTATTCTCATCTAGCTGCACTAGAATATAAGCTCCATAAGAGCAGAGATCTTTTTTGTTTGGTCACCCCTGTATCCACTGGCACACTGCAGGCACTCAACATTATTATTGAATAAATAAATGAAGAAATCTAATCTAACACTAGTCTTTTCCCACTTTTATCTATTTCCAAACAGTAGCGACAAACACCTTTGCAAAAACTTGTTTTCCATCAAGTCTTTCTTATAGTCACGATCCAAGAGTAGAATACTATTGCCCATAGCGTAGAATCTAAAACTCTTCTACCAAGCATTTAATGCCTTCCATAAGGTGGGCATCACTTTCTCTATCAAGTTATCAGAAAAGGTCTCCTTGACATTGTCAAGCTAGTTTTTTTTGGTTTGGTTTGGTTTTTTTGAGGAAGATTCACCCTGAGCTAACATATGTTGCCAATCCTCCTATTTTGCTTGAGGAAGATTTGCCCTGAGCTAATATCTGTGCCAATCTTCCTCTATTCTGTACGTGGGTGCCCACCCCAGCATGGCTGCCGACTAATGGTGTAGGTCTGCGCCCAGGAACCAAACCCAGGATGCCAAAGCGGAGCACACCGAACTTAACCACTAGACCATGGGGCCAGCCCCCAATCAAGCTAGTTTTAACCATATCTAACAATTAAACTACTCTTTCCTATGTCCGTGCATCATCAGCAGAGTGTCCTTCCCTTTTCTTTTCACTACTAGAAACTACTTGCATCCTTTAAAATCAGAACCAAAACTTAAATTGATTCTACATTAGCATGATGTTAATTTTTATAGATAAAAATTTCATTACATTCACTGTCCCCCATTCTTCCAACATGCTCCTAATTTTTTATGCTGTTAGGCCCTAGTTACACCTTCCACTTCCAGGTCTCCTCTAATTCAGTCATGTCCCAGCCACCTCCTGCCAAGACTAGCCACCACTGTTGCCAAATCCTGCTTTAGGTCTTAAGGGTACATTTAATTTCTTCCTATGTTAATTTATTCAGCATATATTTATTGAGTACCTATTTTGTGCAAGTCACTGTTCTAAGCACTGGGGATACAGCAAATCACAAAAACAGACAAAAATCCCTGCTCTCCTTGGGAGTGTGGGGGACCAGCATACAATAAAAGAAATCATACAATAGATTAGAAATTGATAAGTACTGTGGAGAAAATACATGAGAGATGGAGAAGAGGGGGAAGGCCTCAACAAGATGGTGTCATTTGAACAAAGACTTCTAAGAGTGAGAATTACCATGCAGCTATCTGGGGGAAGAGTGACCTAGACAGATGGTACACCAGTGCAAAAGCCCTAACACAGGAGAATGATTGATATTTCAAGCAGCATCAGGGAGGCCAGTATGGCATGAATGAAGTGGGCAACAAGAAGGCTAGTAAGAGATGAGGTCAGAGAACTGCAAGGGAAGCAGATGGTATACAGCCTATGGGCCACTGTAAAGACTTAGGCTTTTTCTGCAATTGAGATGGAAGCCTTTGGAGTATCTTGAGCAGATAAGGAATATGATCGAATTGACATTTTAACAAGATGCTATGTTGAAAATGGATTAAAGTATGAGCAAGGACAGAATAAAGGAGGCCAGTTAAGCTATCACCAATAATCTAGGCAAGAGATAAGAGTAATTTAGACCAGGGTGGTAGTAATGGAGGTAGGGAGAAGTGTTTAGATTCTGGATATATTTTGAAGCTGAGCCAATAGGATTTGATGCTAAACTGGATGTGAGGATGAGTAAGAGAGAGACAGGAATAACTCCAAAGTTTCTGGCCTGAGGAACTGAAAGGAAGGAGTTGCCATTAACTGAGTTGGGGAAGACAGTGAGTAGAAGTTTTGGGGTGGGGGAAAGATCAACGGTTTGGCTTTGGACAGATTAAATCCAAAACAATTTTTGCCATCCAAGAGGAGATGATGAGTAGGGAGCTGGATATCAAGCCTGGAATTCAAGGGAACAGTCTGGGCAAGAGATATAAATTTGAAAATCATCAGTGTACAGATGGTATTTAAAGAGGTGGCATGACAGCTCTCCAAGGCACTGAGTGTAGATAAAGAAAAGGTCCAAGGA